GGAAAGTTTAACAAGTTGTCAATAAACGTGCATGCTACGACGTGTTTTTGGCCAAACGTTTCCTCTAAAAGCTTTAGGGCCTGATGGTAACCTATCTATGGTTCTAGTATAGTACAATGAAGGATAGCGGCTTTCGATTCTCCTTCACAATATTGAATCAAGTAATTTAGCTTAGCTCTAAATCCAATATTCTCACTCCCAATGTATTCTTCGAAATTTCTAATGAAATTCCAATAATTTGTCGATGTACCATCGAATCTTAAGACTTCTCTTTTTGGTAAATACAGATTTTTTAAATATTGTATTCTCACTATTGCTTACTGATTGACCGGAACTTTCACACTTCTGGAGGCATAACTTTTCCAGTTCAATTTCCTTTTCTAACTGGGTTATGCATAACCTAGCTAACTCTAGTTCTATCATGCTATTAGTTTTAAGTTCGTTCTTTTCAAGTTGATCCTCTTTATAAACTCCTAAATGATGGAGTGATAACTCTGGAATGTCATCGGAATCGTAATATTTATTGGAAGTCATTTCAGTAGGTATATTGAATTTACTGTTCAAAACTTTGTAGAAAGCAATTTCCTACAGATTCAACTTTAAGCTAATCTCTAGACTGTCGAATACAGAGTCTTGGTTTGATCAAAGTCAGAACAAGTAAGCTATTTGGTTAGATAAAATGTTCGTTTGTTTTATCTTAATCGATCTTATTGTTATTTTATTATTATCATTATTATTAGTATCTTTGTTGTTGTTGTCGTCGTTGGATTGACGATTTCTTCTTTTTTCATTTTGTTTTTCTTTTATTGTTTCTTTTCTTCTTTTATTGTTCTTACTATTATTATTTAAGTAATTCTATATGAAAATATCATTATTGATAATTGTAGAAAAAATATATCAGTTTCTTGTTTATATGATGATCAAGTTTCTATGTGTTTTTATTTAGCTTATTGTCACTATGACAACTCAATCGCCTTCATATATATATAATGAACATCTAGGATGCAGTTGGACGATCTGAACTTCACAGATGATCTGGCCCTTCTATCCTAAACGCAACAACAAATGCAGGAGAAGACGAACAGTGTAGCAGCAGCCTCAGAAGCAGTAGGTCTCAATATACACAAAAGGAAAAGCAGGATTCTCCGATACAACACAGAATGCACCAATCCAATCACAATTGATGGAGAAGATTCGGAAGATGTCAAGTCCTTTATATATCTGGGCAGCGTCATTGAAGAACACAGTTGATCTGATGCAGATGTGAAGGCGCGGATCGGCAAAGCAAGAGCAACATATTTACAACTGAAGAACATCTGGAACTCAAAACAACTGTCAACCAACACCAAAGTCAGAATTTTCAGTACTAATATCATGACAGTTCTACTGTATGGGACGAGAACCTGTAGAACTGCGAAAGTCATCATCCAGAAGATACAAGTGTTTATTAACAGTTGTCTACGCAAATTACTTCGGATTCGTTAGCCAGATACTATCAGCAACAACCTATTGTGGGAGAGAACAAACGAGATCCCAGCAGAGGAAGAAATCAGAAAGAAGCGCTGGAAGTGGATAGGACACACATCGAGGAAAGCACCGAACTGCATCATAAGGTAAGCCCTCACTTGGAATCCTCAAGGCCAAAGGAATAGAGAAAGACCAAACAGCACATTACACCGAGAAATATAAATAGACATGAGAAAAATGAAAAAGAATTGAATGGAATTAGAAAAGAAGGCCCCGGACAGAGTGGGTTGGAGAATGGTGGTCGGCGGCCTATTCTCCATTAGGAGTAACAGGCGTAAGTAAAGTAAATAAATATAATGAGCTCGAAAGAATTGCCCAGGACAGGGTTGGATAGATTGCTGGTGGGTGGCCTATGCTCCTCCACGAAGAGTAACAGGTTTAAGTAAATATATATATATAATGATGAAGAGTTATCGATAGAATTACATACATATAGAAGTTTTGTTACTGTTGTTGATCGGTGACTCTTAACATCTAATTAAATGACGTTTAAGATTGAAGGTTATTTGTTTGATTTTTACTTTCGCGATCATGGATATAAATAATGGTGATGATGAATTCTATATTGAGGTGAAATAACTGTGTAGTGATTTTTAGTTAGTTTTTTTTTAAATGGTAGTTTAGTTTATATTAATTCAACATATAAACAAATCGCGGTGAGACTCTAATTTATGGATGAACCAATCCGAGGCGTTTTACAGATTTCAAGGTTACGGCGCTAACTTCAGTGCTTCATGCTAACATACGATCGGTTCACAGGGAATTTTGTACAAAACGTGATAATTGAGAGGCTATAACAAATAAAACGGCAAGACTATGATTTGTGGACGAATCAGGTATAAGATAACAGATCTCGGATTTTGGCGCAAAAGCCTTTCATCCATTTGGTTAAATAAATTTTTGGCATTATAGCTGATGTCAGTTCATGATGAAAACCCCATTTATAATTCCTGACTAAGGCAAATTATGACAATTATCGAGAACTGGATAGTAAAAGCACCAGTAACACTGGCTGCAGCCACGTACTACAATATATACGAATGATTGGAGAGCGTATAGACTCCTACATAGGCTTGGTTATGTGCATCGTGTCGTTATCCACAAGTAGCATTTTGTGGACTAAACAACCGGAGTGCATATAAACAATATTGAAGCTATGTGATCGAGGCTGAAAGAGTTTTTGTGACTTGATCATGGCTCCAGAGGCCGACTATTCTGTAGCCATATGGATGATTTCCTCTACTGCATGCATTGCGACTTTAGAACCTCTGAACCTCTTTCTAACCTTGACAAGTTTTTGAACCACGTATAAGAAGTGTATCCACTTTATTTCATTGGTTTTGTATGATATATTTTTACTCTATACTGACTGTGTGCTGATTGGCTAATATTTGTCAAGGTGGCTTAAGATCCGTTCAAAGGTCGTCTATAAATCAGTCTCGCCGAAATCGCATTACAGAAAAAGGTTTTATGGATATTATTGTAATTCCAAGAGTTGAGATCATGAGTAAATGGAAGCTAGATCACCATGAACAACCTGGAAGCACTGGATGGCCGTTTCATCTTAGTATCGGACTCGTCAACAGTGCGCATCCACGATACCGCCTCGCGAGATTCGTACCCAGGACCCGTCAGTATCGCGTGCGAACGCTAAACCTCTAACCCACTAAGCCGGCATCCAACGGTGTTAATGTCTAACTTCAACGAATTCACGAAATTGCGCCACCATCCACTATTGTCTTAAGTGAATTACTATCTCACAACAGACCTGGTTGAACTCCACTGGTGGTCTATAGGTTAAGGATTTGAGCGCGAGACCGATAGGTCCTGGGTTAGGATCCTGAGGTACGAGGTCGTGGGCATGCACTGCTGAGGAGTCCCATACTAGGACGAAACGGCCATCCAGTGCTTCTAGGTTTTCCATGATGGTCTAGCTTCAATTTACTCATGATCTCAACTGTTAAAATCGCTTTATCTTAAGATATTTTTTTATTCCTTAAGAAAATTAGATATTTCTCATGTTTTTTTATTCAAGTTTGAATTGATCTCTTGATATAGACGTACATAGTTTGATCATTGAATTTATGGACTAAAGTTGTGGAGTTTAATTGTAGGTTGTTCAAAATATCCCATCTCCATTTGTATTGTTTAATACATTCCTGGAAATCATGTGCTTAATATAATTCTTCAGTTCATATTTATGTTATTTCCCTATATGGTCATTATTCCTTTGATTATGTTACTGGTCTTCATCTGTTCATCTTTAGAGTCTTTAAAGCCTTAGCTGAAGTGCTTAATCTACTTGGAGAAGCTGTTTTCTTTAATCATTCAAACGTAATGTAGAACTTGACACATTTGACATCGGTTCATTTTGCTGTACCTGATTACCAGCATTAGGTGGCAACAAGATTAATGGTTAGAGAAAAGATAAGTCATCCAAGATACAATTCGAGAACAAAATATTGATTAATGGAGTGAAAGAATTGATAAGGAACTCAGAATGTAAAGGAAGATAAATAGTGAATGCATCTTGGTCATTGAGAAATATTTCGTATCTTGTCAATCAAAGTCTCAATAACCACTGATTGCGATGACCATGAAAACCTTAAATAGGCAATCTACACTGTTAACATGGCTCAGCCAAATTGTCAGTGAGTTAATGGACTGATACGATGCTATGATTTGGGCGCCGTGAATTTCTTCCAACCTTCTTCTACATAAAACAACATTACCCGTAGAGGTTTTCTGTGGATGGGCACATTTAAAACGTGTCCCTACTTTCTCATTACCTTGTCAGTCTATTTCTCATAATTACCTAGTACTCTCTGCATCTAACGTCAGAATACTAACTTCACATTCTCTGGTGCCCAAACCGTAGCAGTTGGTTTTCTTAAGAGGCCACACGTCGAGTTTTGACCTAAAGGTCTAATCCACAAGGCAGTGGAGTAACGTGAAGAGATGCAGCCCCATAGTAACCAGTAACCAATAATTGATTCATACGCCATTTGTTCCTTCAGGATACTGGAACCCATGTATACTATTGATTTGAAATGAAGGTTTCCTAACTCCCCCTAGATGAATTCTGCATATCCACCAATCCAGTTAAAGCTCTGGACATTCGCTTTTTATCCTCTCAATTTCGTAAACAACGCCGCCGCCGCCGTGAGAACGCAATAAGTAGGACTTCCCTGTCAGTGATTTTATGCACATAGCCAATATGAGATTATTTGTAGAGGGGAGAGCTAATTCTCCCCACTCTCGGTTGTACAAATGTATTTGAGTTAGTAACAAGCGTAAGTAAATAGGTAAAAAAACTTTTCGACAGTACCGCATACTCATATAAATCAACAAGAGATTCCATTCAAAATTTATAGGGGCTTAACAACAAATCACTTCTTTTCTGTTATTATTATTGATATGAAAGAAAGAGAGAGAAAAAGAGAGAGAAAAAAAAGAGAAAGGAAAAACTTTGATCAATTTTTTATTTTCATAGTGTAAGATTTACATGAAAACCATAACATTAAACTAATACATTCAAGGCTAAATATAGTAAATTGTATCATCTTATGAAATGATCTAGCTAAATTAAATAAATTAAATAATAAACAAATAATAATGAATTGACAACAAAATATTAAAAATTTATATAGTGAAAAATTATTAGTAGTATTATTATTGAAGTGCTTGTTACTATGACAACCATAGAACAACAATAAAGATGATGATTGTGATGATGATGATGATGAGGGGGAGGGGGAGGAGGAGGATGAGGAGCACGAGGAGGAGGAGGAAGATGACGATTGAATAATATGTACTATACCAAATTGTAATAACCATATTGATGTACATAATAGAATGAAAGTACTGGGTATAATATGATGAAATTGTAAAATAGATGAATAATGTAAAAAGAAACTAGAAATACTAAAATAAAATAATAAAAAAGAAAAAAAAAGAGAAGATGGAAAATCAATACTGGAAATGAAGTTTAAAAAGAGTTTCTATTCATTTAAATCAATCAGTCAGTCAGCAACAACATGGAACTTCGTACATACATACGTGCGTTACTAAGGAGTTGCATACAACAATGAAACAGTTATCCAGTACTTCTAGGTTTTTCATAATAGTTTAGCTTCATGAATTGTTTCGAATAATCTTAACTATTAAACATTACTATGATATACACACACAAAAGATAAGTTCAGAGAAGAGTTCTGTTCTCGGCGAATTCATTTTCAGAGCTGTACAATCGCAATGGTTCAATAAGAAGTTCAATAATTCAACACTTAATAAACTCAAGTCACTCAATCAAGATAGATTCTGCGTTCAAAGTCATCTACAAAGTAAGTAGAAGTCTTCCTAAGACAATTAGACTGTATCTTCTGTGCATTGCCGAAGCACTAGACATATATCTGGAAAAACCAGAATTGTGTGTAAAAAAGTGACTGGTACAACCTCTTATTCTACTATGGTCTTAATGTCTTATAACTTTTTCTCTCTCTTTCTTCACACTCTTCGTCCTTAACAGCCATCTGCTTCACTTTCCATCTTCCCCTTATATCTTCTAACCCCAATTGGTTTATTTTGTTTCCAAGATCATTGTGATTACATTTAATCTCAATTTCAACGCTTTATGTTATTATGCTGAGCCATCCTTTTCCAATCATAATTTCCCTCACAATTGATTGATCACTGGGCGGTGATCAATGTCATGTATATCAGGTCCTTCTCAGTGCAGATCGAATGCTATCGACTATGTTGCAATGTGACCACTAGTCTAGGTGACTCGACATTGCGTGCACTATGTTGAGATAGAATGGTAGTTGGAAGTAGTCGACAGGAAACTCTGGACCCGGGTTTCGTGTTACTTGGCACTCGTCAGCAAAACGTACCTGTAATTAAGGGAACTGACGCTCGCTGACAGACTGAAATGTACTTACAATCGATTCATCACTACAGGAGGACAGTCCTAGCCCGAAGAGTCGGATGGTAACTTCTCTGACTATGAATTTGAGTGACAAGGGATCGAATTCGTCAAGGAGCTTCAGTTCCCATATGATTACAGGTAAACTCTTATGACAAGTCCTAAGTAGCACGAATCCAAGATCCAGGGTTTCCTGTTGACTTCCTTCAGTCACCATCTTATGATAAGTTTCCCTATCTATCTTTTGATGAATGCTTAAGACGTTAACAATCAAACGACTATTAAACTTTCCTTGTTTTTAAAAGAATTTCTTCATAACTTTGTTTATTTAACCTCACTGTCAACATGTCTAACTGATGTTTATTATCAGTATTATTATCATCCTGTAAAAATAAGTATATATATTTGCGATTGTACAGCATTCAAAATGAATTCGCTGAAAAGAGAACTCTTCGCTGAACTAATCTTTCTTATTTAATATCTTAATGAGTACATTAAGATGGTGGAGAAGATTTGTAGCTCAGGTGGATGATTTTGATGGAGTTTTGTTTTCTGAACTGAATGGTTTGGTCGTGGGGCTTTCATCGTTCTTCTAAACGACATCATCAGTACAAACTTCAGATAGAAGTGAAGTGTTCGAATTTCTCTATATGTGTTTCACAGCTTGTTCTGTATACCTCGACGTTGATTGGTCCTTATTGACCGTTGTTTTGATTGTGTCTCCCGTTGGTTTGATTATTGTTTTTATGTTTGTTCAAAATTTTCCTGATTGGTTGATAAATTGGATTGATTTCAATATGCTTGTTGATTGCTGATTGATCTGAGTGCCAGGCTTCTAAAAATTTTCTGGTGTTTTTGGAATTTCCTATGTCACAGATTTCCACATTTTTCCAATCGAATGAGTGTCCACAGTTGTCCACGTGTATTGATATAAGTGACCGCTAATTGATGTTCATATAGGAGAAGATGAAGCGGGAATTCGCTTTGTCCGATGTAGTGTTTTTCACACTTGGCACAATTTATTTTGTAGATGATTTTTGATTTGTTTTCGAACACTTTACTTCTACCTGAAGTTTGTGCTGATGATGTTGTTAAGAAGAACAATGAAAAATTCACGACTAAACCATTTAGCTCAGAGAAAAAAACTTCATCGAAATGGGTATATTCCATTTATGCAGGATCGTGGATGCGCACTGCTGAGGAGTCCCATTCTAGGACGAAACGGCCGTCCAGTGCTTCCAGGTTTCTCATGGTGGTCTAGCTTCAACTGACTCATGATTTCAATCTGTGAAAATTTCTAAAATCTCCACAAACCCCTTCTGACAATATAACTATGATCATCTGTTTTTCTAGCTCATCTCTAGATCCCCTATAGTAACAACACACATACACACATCATATTGATTAACTCACTTATAATAATCCAATAATTGAATTCTTTCAATAAATAATATCCAATCATTTAACATCAATAAATTAATAATCAATAATAAAATAAATAAACGACATTTAATTAAATAATATAATCTTAATTGATATTTTATTATTTGATATTGATTATCATCATTATTATTATTGATTAATTGAATGAATGGATTATGATTATGATTATGATTACATAATGATTTTTGTATATTCTTAATATAATTTTGTTGATCAAATAAAATATTCTAAAATAGAAAAGAAAGAAAGAAAAACCGAGAGAAAAATAAATAAATGAAAATAATTCATTAAAATTTGATAAATAAAAATAGTATAGGACTCTTTAAGTACTGTGCATCCACGATCCAGAAACCCCCCCCCTCACTTTCATTATAATCATCATATATTCATTAGTGATTGGCTTTAGGAGATATTTTCTCGAGTTCGAAGTAGGAAGATGTGATCAGTGGAGTTTAAACCAGGTCTGTTCTGAGATAGTAACTCACTGAAGACAATGGTTGATGGTGGCGCGATTTCGTGGATTGGATGTTGACCGGCCATTTCATATTAGTATAGGACTCTTCAGCAATGCGAATTCATATTCTCAACGTGGTAATTTTGTTTTTATATACAAACTATTTAACAAAGATGGATAGTGGCTAGCACTGGAATCCAGTTTGATGAGCGTTTCATTCTATTTGGGACTCGTCAGCTAGATGTACATTCATCCCATTGCACAAGCAGGTGGCTATCACAACTCAGTAACGAAGTGCATAACGCGATGGTGTTTGAAGTGAACGGTATTGGGTTCGAGTTCCGGAGTGAACAACAACTCTGGGATGCAGGTGCATCCAGCTGACAAGTCCCAAATAGAACGAAATGCGCGTCAAACTGGATTCCACTGCTAGTTATCATCCACCTTTGCCTAAAATGTCCATGACTTAAGGTCATATCGAGGCAATCCGAACAGGATGCACATATGCAAACATGAGACGGATCAATTACAGCCCTAAATAACAATGGGAAGATACAAGTAAAACAACAACAAGTGAATCTATTTGACAAAGTTTAGATTTATATATTACAGTTTAAGATAATGAATTATTTATTCGACAATTGATGATATTACTCAATCATACTTAATAATTCAAGTGTTTTTTTTTAAAAAAATCTATATAGTTCAACATTTTTTTTTCTTGCACAATATACCTAAAATGTTAATATGATATCTGAGTAGCAGTAGGGTTAAATTAATTCATCTTTATCATCACACTACTGATTTAGATTTCAGTAGTATAAAAGATTTCCCATCTGAAAGATTATCTGATACTATTTGGTGATGAATATTTCACACTGTTAACATGTTTAAACTCTATTGATTACAAATTATATTTACATTATTTCAGTTATAAGATGAATAACACAATATTGAACTAATGAATTCGAGATTAAAATAATTTCTAACTTGTATTTCAACTAATTCGTGATCATCATCATCATCATCAGACAAGAGACTGAAGGCCCTGGGTTCGAATCCCGCGGGGCGGGATCGCGGATACGTACTGCTGAGGAGTCCCACAATAGGACGAAATGGCCGTCCAGTGCTTCCAGGTTTTCAATAATGGTCTAACATCAATCGGTTCATGATCTCAATCAAAACTTAGCAACCTCCACAACCCCTATACTGATAAGATCATTATTGGTTGGATCAAAACTGTTTTATTCTTGGTTGAATGCACACAGAACAAGTCAATAGATAATTAAAATGAATAATTAAATAAACAAAGTTTTGGAATAATGACAATAATAATAATAATAGTAATAATAATAACACAATAAATACAACCATAAGTATTATTACTTACATTCATCAATAACAATAAGCTGAGTAAGAGAACAGCTAATGATTCAGTTAATAACCAAGCAATAGATAGAATAAACAATGTTGAAACATTCATAATCCATGTAGAAGATGAAATACTGAAAATAAATAGATGTTTGCAAATTAGGAATTGGGGAACAGGGAGCAAGGGGGATAGAGAGAGAAAGAGGGTGATAATAAATTGCTAGAGTTAGTAATACAAAAAAAGTAGTCAGTTATATCATAACAAATATCAATATACTAATGTGCATGAAGCAAAAATTAGCAAGTATAGAGCGTTGATTGTCAGTGTCTGTACCATATGCGCTAAATTTTTGTTACTGTGCTATGGATTAAGATATTACTCCAGTTGGAGATAATCGACAAGAAACTATTTCTGACCCAGGTTTCTGTCTATTTGATTACTCATTAGTACATCAGCCGGAACAATCTGATGATAACATTTTACACTGCGAAAATAGATTATGTGGATTCGAATATCATTTAAAGTGCGGTTATAAAAATAATACACATGACACTAGGCGATCAACTGTAGGTTCACCTCAATTAAATTATAGATCATCCCATGCAATGAATACATTCTGGTCACATATTCAACTCTGCCTGAAACCACATTAGGGCTATTGCCGGCCCCAAGCTCAGATGAAGGAGGAGGGTTTGGCATCCCGTAGAAAACTAACTCGCTAAAAAAATGTTCACCAGAAAAAATAACTCAAACCACTTAAACTCTGTCCTAGGAATTAGAAGGTCTTCAATTAGAAAAGTTATGACGCCTCATGATGAAAGCCAAGTTCCTTAGGAAGTCATGAGGCTGATGCCCCTTTTAACAAACAGAGCAACTATTAATTTAGATACATGGAATGCTCATATAATGCGGGACAATGACCGAGTCATCCAAATTGCTGATCACATATTTCCTTTGAGCTACTCTGCGTGCTGGCCACCATTGGTAAAATGCTCTCTTCTTCTGAACTGAACACAAAGATTTAACTGTTATTTCTATTAAGAAAGGTTACAGTTTTACTTGAATTAATTTATTTTATGATTCTTTTTCATAGATACAAAAATATGAAATTCATCCACATCTTAACAGATCTATATGAAGTAGGTTAGAAATCCAACTTGGAATAAATTTTGTCGACTTAATTGTTTGGCTTAGAGACGATTTTTTTTTTCTATCACCATCGATACCAGTTGGAGAGTTAATAATATCATACTATAGACGACTACTGAATGTAACAAAATGTAAGCCATTTCTTTTGTATTCTTCATGAAATTTGCATTTTGAATCGACACTACTATAAAACTTTCAAACTAAGAGCAAACAACTGTCTTTTAGCCATTACGATTGTTTAGCTGTTATCCCTTGATTATAACTGAATAGATGTTCGAGTGTTCACACTGTGATGATCCAATCGAGTCACATTGGCTGGAAAACAGTAAGATGACTGTAACAGACAGTGATGAGAGTACGATGTTTTCCTTAGGCAAGCAACATCTGCAGGGATGAGATCTTACCTCTTAAAAATACTACATTTTATCTTTTACCATAAGCTTCCGTAGCCTCCAACAAAACCTTGAAAATACGAAATGAACACATCAAGTACTACTCAAAAAAATGTCACATGCAACCGACCACAATTCAGTTTCTTTTTGAGTTGAGCAATTATGCTCCCAAGTTTGAGGTCTTTTTTCAAATATCTCAACAACAAGTAAACAAATGAATAGTAACAACAACCACTTCCATACTCTCAAATAGTTACTTCCTTACGCCGGTTACTCCCAATGGAGCATAGGCTGCCGACCACCATTCTCCAATCCACTCTGTCCTGAGACTTCTTTCCTAGTTTTATCCAATTATTGTTCATTCTTCTCATGTCTCTATTTCTCAAAGTAATGTGTTGTTTGATCTTCCACTCCGCATTTGGCCTTAAAGATTCCATGTGAGGGATTGCCTTATGTTGCAGTTCGGTGCTTTCCTCAATGTGTGTCCTATCCACTTCCAGCACTTCTTCCTCCACAAGGATCTCGTTTGTTCTCTCCCACAGTAGATTGTTGCTGATAGTGTCTGGCCAACAAGTCCGACGTTTTTTGTGAAGACAACTGTTAATAAACACTTGTATCTTCTGAATGACGGCTTTCGTAGTTCTACAGGTTTCCATCCCATACAGTAGAGCTGTTGTGACATTTGTATTGAAAATTCTGACTGTCGTGTTGGTTGACAGTTGTTTTGAATTCCAGATGTTCTCCAGTTGTAGATATGCTGCTCTCTCTTTGTTGATTCGTGCCTACACATCTGCATCAGATCCACACTGTTCATCAATGATGCTGCCCAGATATGTAAAGGTTTTTACATCTTCCAAATTTTCCCTGTCAAGTGTGATTCGATTGGTGCATGACGTGCTTTTCACTTTGTGTATGTTGAGACCTACTGCTGCTACACTGGTCGTCTTCTCCTGCATTTGTTGTTGTGTTTGCGATAGACGAGCCAGATCATCTGCAAAGTGTAGATCGTTCAGCTGCACTTTAGCTGTCCACTGTATACCATGTTTCCTCTCACATGTTGATGTCTTCATGATCCAGTTGATCACCAGATGAAAGAGAAAGGATGAGAGTAAGAAACCTTGCCTGACACCGGCTTTTACTTCCAATGAGCCTTTCAATTGTCCTCCATACACGATTTTGCAGTTTAATCCATCATAGGAATTGTTTATGATAATAACAATCTTCTCAGGCACATCGTGATATCAAAGAAGCCCCAATAATGTCTTGTCCATGTTATCAAATACTTTATCGTAGTCAACGATTCTCAAACAGTACTCCATTGTCCTATTACATCATCAATATAATAAACAAAATACTATTCCAATTTAATCAATATACATAACAAAGAACGAGAAGAATAGAAAACAAATACTTACAAATTATCATTATGTTTCATTATAGAATAATTATTTCGATAAATGAATTGCGACGACGATGATGATGATGATAATGATAATAAGAATAAAAATCCTTTATCAATAATAACATTTAATAATGGTATTATAAATCCATATGGTATTGATATAATCAATAATGGTAAATGATTTAAAATCAATATTAAATTATTAGAAAAATCAATAAATGATAATATTTTGATTGTATGAATGAAACGTAAGCCAAGTTGTCCAATTTGTTGTAATTCAATCCATTCAGAATAACTAATTGAATAAAGAAAAAAAATGAAGATCTACGATGATATTATCAGTAGGGGTTTGTGGAGATTTTAGAAAGTTCACAGATTGAAATCATGAGTCAATTGAAGTTAGACCACCATGGAAAACCTGGAAGCACTGGACGGTCGTTTCGTCCTAGTACGGGACTCCTCAGAAGTGCGCATCCATGATCCCGTACCCCGCGAGATTCGAACCAAGGACCTATCAGTCTTTGTAAAGTATCTTTGCAAAATATAAGAACAGTAGAGTAAATAATTTATTTGTGAATCTTCTATCAATTGTCTTTTATATTCTGTTTGGTTCTTTGAATTCATAATTTATTCCTATTTCTATTTTCCTTAATCCGATCTTTTTAGCCTTCTGGAGCTACTTACTACTTAAGTCTGTCGACATAAGTAGCATACACTGCAGTACAAGGAAGCGTGGAACATATATATGCCACAGAAATCATTCGATGTGTGAGGGATGGAATACTATCCAGATGCCTAAATCGAGACAAAGGGTTTGCTTAAGGGGCCAAACCTCGAGCCTTTGACCTAAAGGTCTAATCCATAAGGCAGTGGAGCAATGTCAGGAGATGCAGTCTCTTGGTAGTCGGTGACTAACAATAGGTCCCTACTTCATATGTTCCATCAAGATCCTGGAGCCAGCCCATATGCATCATTGGTTTGGAATGAGGGTTTTGCAACTCCCTTAGGTAGATCCTCCATATCCACCAACTCGGTTAAAGTGCCGAACATTCACTTATCGTCCTCTCAATTTCGTAAACAACAGTAATGTCGCGAAAAGACAGCGAGTAGGACTTCGCTGGCAGTGGCTGTATACGCATGGTCATGTTAGAATATTTTGAGAAGGAGAGCTGACTCTCTCCACCCTCGACTGTAGTACCAGGGCATATCTATCTAACAGACAATATACGAATAAAGATTCTAAACATTTTGTTCCACAACATATAGAGTATATTAGTTTTATCCTTTTTAAAATACACATTTATAATAAAATACTTATTAAACTTCTATTTCCATTCTTCAAAACTTTAATCGGAACTCCTAATAAATTAAATTCTTTAGTTCTCTTTTCCAGCTTGTCACAATGAAATTGTACACTCATCTTTTTAGGTAACATGAAAATTAAGTTAAGGAAGATTGAACATTTACAATATTCAGTATGTTTCAGAATAAGGAATATAACTGGACTATCTTGTAATTGATGGATAGTGGCTAGCAGTGAAATCCAGGACGCACGTTTCGTCCCATTTTGGGACTCGTCAGCATACGCACAGTATGCACACATGCCAATAACAGACTGATCAATTGCAGTCTTAAACCTCAATGGGAAGATACAAGCCAAACAATAACAAGTGTATTTTGTAATTGGTTAAATTATCTTAGAGGATACAGCGAATAACTAACTTCAACGAACAAACCATTTAATCAGCTTCATAGAAATAATTCAAGTAATAAATGAACATTCCCATAAGGCTATATCGAGACAATACGTACAGTATGGGTATATACCAATGAAAGACTGATCAAGTGTAGTCCTAAACATCAATGGGAAAATTCGAACAAACAATATCAAGTGAATTTAAACTTCACTCCATTGCATAAGCCAGTGGTTATCAGGACTCAGTAGCTAATTGGATAACGCGATGGTGTTTGAAGTGAACGGTACTGAATTCCAGTCCCAGAATAAACATTAACTCTGAGATACAGGTACATCCAGCTGACGAGTCCCAAAATAGGATGAAACACGCGTCAAACTGGATTACACTGCTAGCCACTATCCATCTTTACATAATAGATGAACAATAAGTTATTCGTAATAATTTAATCTTCTTCCATAGCTTCATATAAAAGATTGATTATGATAGGTAAGTTGTTGTATCAAGATTTATTAAGTAATATATCACTTCGATTGATTTTCTCTATATTGGTATTCAAGTACATGACAGGTGAATATATTCTTGAAATATATAGTTTATAAATAGTAATTTTCCACAGAATTAATGACATGAATATCTTCATGGACAACGAGTGAAACCTTATTATTTTCTTATGATTGTTATTTCTTGTGATATCCCGATGAGGAGAAAATTGTATTTAATACGGTTTGTAGTTGAAAGGATTCGACAAGAAACCCTATTTTACGGGAATAAGTTTCGCGTCACTTAGGTTTACAGTCAAAGAATTTATCACTAAGCAGTTCAATTGACAACTAAAGTCATTTAGACCTGAGATGTACGTCCCTGTCTATGAAACTAGACAACGTAGGGTCATAAATGCGCCAAGCAAAATCAGTTCCTTCAAAGTTACAAGTACATTTTGTTGAAGAAAGCTAGATAGCACGAAAAGTATGTAGAAGAGGATATCCTGTCAACTTCTTTCAGCCATCATTATCTTACATCTCAATATATTCCATGAGATATCGAGTTACTTAGACTAATGGCTGGTGAATTGCAACTTGCTGAACAAAACTTGATTAACACTAAAATGAACTTGACATAGATGATACTGGTCACTACATAATGTTCAATTAATTGTAAACTTAATCCTATGGCTATAAAGAATAGAAAAATCAATTACATATTTTAAAATGATGATTTCATACAATGAACTCAGTTTCTATTCCCAAAATAAACCCATTTTACAATTTTCAAAACAATAGTCCCCATTCCATTTTCAAGGGATGAGATATAAACCATTGACGGGTTGTTTAATGGTATAAAAGACATATACATAGTCAAATAAACTTTCTACCCCAAAATTTGTCTTTAATCTAGAGTAGAACGAATTATGTGTATAGGAAGAGTGAATATGAATATTAGATATTGGACATTGGGTGTCATAACAGTATACACATTGTAACTACTTTCAACAAAAAAAAAAATACATAAATACATATACATTACATAATTGATAACTTACGGTAAAGATATTAGTTGAAAACTGAGAAAATGTATTAAAACAACAACTTGATGATAATATATCTCATGAATTATTGATAAGAAGTTATGATGAGAGATTGGCAAGAAATGATCTAAAACATATTTGTTTTCAACAAAAAAAAATAATAATATCAAAATAGGTTTTGTGGATATTATTATGGTAATTTTAATAGTTGAGATCATAAGTCAACTGAACCTAGACTACCATGGGAAAACTGAAAGCACTGAAAAGCCGTTTTGTCGTAATATGAAACTCCTCAACAGTGTGCATCCACGATCCCACCTCGCGAGACCAATAGGTCCTGAGTTCGAATCTCTCGAGGCAGGATAGTGGATGCACACTGCTGAGTCTCATAATAGAATCAAAAGGTCGTCCAGCGTTTCCAGGTTTGCCATGGTGGTCTAGCTTCAATTGACACATGATCTCAACTATTAAAAAACTAATAATAAATGAATCTACTAACAAGATTTCATAATATCATATATAAAAACAAAGTGAATTTCAATAGAATTGAAAATTGTCTATTTTTCATTAAAAATGTGAAATCTTTGTGAAAACAGGACAATAAGAAAGATGGATGATAGCTAATAGTGGAATTCAAGACGCGAGTTTCATCCTATGTCGGACGGAGTGGATATCAACTCTAGGATGCAAGTACATTCAGCTGACGAGTCCCAAAATAGGACGAAACGTGTGTCCGGCATCCCATTATTAGCCACCATCAATTTCTGCTTATAATGCTTGTAACTTAAGGTAGTACCAAGGCGATTCGCTCAGGATGCATATATGTTAATAACGGACTGATCAATCGCAATCCAAAAGATGAATGGGAAAAATCAAATAAACAATACAAAAATAAATTAGGACAATAAGAAGTCTTATTGAGATGAAAGGTGTTTGAGATTATTCAATTTGAAGATTGCTTATAATAGAACTTGATCAAACAACTACTAAAAAACTAGAGAACACTGGAAAATCATTCCATTCTATTGTAGGACTTTTCCATGATAACCTTGTTAAGCATTGATGTTACAACATCGTGTGGTTTGGGGGTTTATGTATTATTTGATTGAAATGGTTGCAGTGGTTGAACTGACCCTTTTCTAAATACTAGATGAATACTTATTGAGACACTAAAACAACTATACAGTAAAGATACTTAATAATTAATCAAGTATGAATATACGGGTTAGAAAGCTAAAACCCCATTCATTTCTGCCTGTCAAATCATCAGACACAAATTAATTTTCAAATGTAAATAATACCAATTAAGCGATCAAGATCATTTTCTGCCGATAAAAAAATATGATCTTCACTTGTAAAAGCTTCAACAATAAAAACATACTCTAAAAGTAAAATTTAAAAAGCAATGACCAGTGGAATTCAGTAGGGTCTGTTGTGAGATAGTAACTCATTGAAGACAATAGTGGATATGTCGCTCAATGTCGTAGATTCGTTGAAGTTAGACATTTAACACCATTGGATGTCGGTTCAGTGATCTAGAGGTTAATCGTTCGTACGCGAGACTGATAGGTTCTGGATTCGAATCTCGTGGTGTGAGATAGTGGATGCGCACTGCTGAGGAGTCCCACAATAAGACGAAACGGCCACCCAGTCCTTTCATGTTTGCAATAGTGGTCTGGTTTCAATTGACTGATGATCTCAACCATTAAAAATAATAAGTAGCTCAATTGGTCCGATATTCAATTTTCGATACTAGAACAACTGATACTTATGATAATTGGTGTTTTTTTGTGTAATGATAAAAATTATGTCAGTAGTATAACTGGTGAATGTAATGTACAAAAGCCTTTAAGGATGTATACCAGTGTTTACTGAAGCCTTGGCTATACAGAAACTGAAACCTCCTTTATGCGTTCAAAAACAATTTGTGCTTACACTTAACCTACCCTGGTAATACTGATTTATTATCCAGAATGGTTATCACATTGTTTTTGTATACTTTGTTACGGCTTATCTCTAATCTGTCTAGTTGACCTTTTTAATTTTCATATATAAGTGTTCTTAACAAGTCTATGTGTGATCAGATTGTTCGGAATGTATTACGCTAATATATCATAACATAATTCTGATAAACTTCGTCTTCTTATTGCATTAACTGAATAAATTGAAATTTCCAAAAGGACAATTGCTATTTGATTTGATGAGCTAATTAAAAATTCCTTCCTTATTGTTTCCATTCTTTTTTCTTTAGAATAATTGAGATTGTGTACACGAAAACTGAGTGTTCTAGTATCAAATTCTCAGGAATCGCAAGTGACAACATATATGAAATTTGGTCATGAGAATTAAAACAATCGAATTACTGATTGATGAGTAAATAATGACCCATGTTATTGTTTATTTAGTCTTTCAATGATGATCGAATTCTATCAACAGATCAGTAGTGATTGGAATAGTTCTATGGTTCCTCTATATTTGAGGCGATACATACGAAGTTCCACGTTGTTACTGACTGACTGGTTCACCTAGTCTGAGAACAGAACAAAAACTCTGTGACCAAAGAGCAATAAGCTAGCTATTCCCATGTGTCCAAGTACAGCTAACTAGAAAAACAAGTCCAAGTTCGAGACGGGGAAATATATTCCGCAAGCAGCCAGAAGCATGAGCAATCACAACAAGCACAAATCAAACGTATATATACAGCATAAAATTGTCTATGGGAATCGTTACAAAACAGTATACTAAAAGCAACAACGAACCAATAGCGTTTAAGATTCTCCCAAGTGGGAAATACGACATGAAAGTGAAAATGGACGCTTTTGGCGCGAAAACAAGAAAATACAAAATATTAAAATAAAATTACAAAAATAAGGTGTTTACCAAGTGAGTTCTGAGGAAGTAACATCCCCAACAGTGGTAATAACTTACAATTTGAAGTTGAGTGATATGGGTTCGAATCCTATATGACTTGTTGAAAAACACATTAACTAGCATAAAACCTTAGTTTACTCAAAAGTATTCTATACAAAATAAAATTATAATAGATAATGTAATCGTCAAACTATTTAAAAAAAGATGAAAACCATAGCAACTTTGATACAACTAATTATTGAACTTACTTTCATTAAATGAGATTAATCGAAATGTTAATATAACTAATGATAATACTAAATGTCCACATAGTAATCCACCAAAATGTGTACAATGAAGACGAATCAACTATAGTTTTTTTTTAACGAAAAAAGAAGAAATGAATGATGAAATGAAAATTTTATAATTTATTATTAAGTGTAACGCATCAAAACCATATAGAAACAATAATAAACTAATGCCGGCTCAGTGATCTAAAACTTAAGCGTTCACGTGCGAGACTGATAGGTCTTGGGTTCAAATCTCACAGGACGGGATCATGGATACGCACTGTTGAGGAGTCCCACAATAGAACGAAATGGTTATCCAGTACTTCCAGTTTTTCCATGATGGTCTGGCTTCCATTGATTGATGAATACACTTATTAAAATTACAAAAATCTCCACAAAACCCCCTTATGATAATAATCTCTTTAAATAAAAAATAAGTGATAAATACACAAGATATGAATAGGTTTGATGTGAATTGGTTTCAAATGTTGAGAAATGAGAACTTCTACACACACACACAATATGGAAAACAGATGTATTACATGAATATAAAGTACGGATCTGAATAGTTCAAAATTATGTCTCTGAAGAAAAAGAACATACGAATAAACAACTTAATGTGATTAGGAATACATGATATTTCTCTTTCAATCTATTAATATCTTTGGTAAAGTTTGCAACAGACAAATCAAACGAGGGAAGATGTTCAAATCATCTTAATCACTGAAATATGTATCAAGATAGATTAAACATTGGTATATAATGTGTTAAGGTTTAAACTATTATGTTGTTGATGATGACTAACAATCAATCATTCTTATATTGATAGATGTACATTTTGATTAGATTGTCTCAATATTAACATTTTAACACAGGTTCCATTTTGATAAGTTGTTTCACTTAATATCGACAGTGAGAATACTTAATACTTGATGTTTATTAATTTCAGAAAGGCGTTTTGTGGAGATTTTAGTGATTTTAATAGTTGAATTCATGAGTCAATTAAAGATAGACCACCATGGAAAACCTGGAAGTGCTGAACGGCTGTTTCGTCCTAATAGTATGAGACACCTCAACAGCGCGCATACATGATCCCGCCCCGCAGGATTCGAACGCAGAACCGATTGGTCACACGCGTGAATGCTTAAATTCAGTGGTTTATAATTTCATTGCCTATTGAACAAGTTAATAATTGTTTGGATTTAGTAGATTAGTGTAAAGTGCACTGTTGTTTAAAGCTAAAAAGTATTGAATATCAACACTATAATTCAGGTATATACAATTAGCTAACCAGAGTTAAATAAATATCCTAGATCAAACTGATAGACACAACTAAACTTTACTAAATATTTCCATTTACTCATTATCAGGTCTCTAAATAAACGTTATACATATGTATGATTTAAAGTTCCTGTTGAAAGGATCCAAGAGAAATTCTCAAGTGAATATGACTATAATAATTAGTTTCAGTTACTTTGCCAAGATTCATTGTTACGTCCTTGATCTGTCTACCCACTTTTGGTGCTGAGGATAACTTGTCTAATCTAGATTAAGACCTTGATGCGATAGGTTGACCGGCTTAAACTTAAGGCGAATACACGTGAGTTCGAAGTAGGGTAGAGAGAGAAGAAAACTATTCTATCACCTGATTGGTTGACAAGCACGCGAATGAGAAGACAAGACAACTGGAACACTACTCAATCTATTCTCGATTTCCTGATTTCCGATTAATGCAAAAAGGTACATGAATAAATAAGTGACTAACCCGACCACAACATACAATAATTAGGAAAAATACAATTATGTCCAAAGCTCAGAATTAGAGTAGGAAATAGGGTGCAAAATATTATGTTTAAATGACAATAGCTTCGTGACAGAAAAGGGTGTAGCAATGAATCATACATCGAACGAAAGCTTATGTTCTATAGAATAGATTAAGGACGAAAATAAATGTCAGAGTTTTACAAGCTTTGCATAAAATGAAATAAAGTTCCGAAAAATAACTTTCATAGTTTTTCAGGGCTTCTTGTTTCTCTGTTCATATCATTCATAGAAACACGTTTGAAAAAAGACAAACAATAAACAAACAGACAATTTACGAAATTCAATACACAAAAGAAGAAAAAATTTTTGAAAGAAAAAATAAAGAAAGAAAATTGATTAAAAATACTAATTTTATTAAATACTGACCAATCAGCAGCAACTATTCTTTCTGCCTCAAGGTCATCTAATGAGCCAATCACAATCGAGATGAAATGAAACTTTCATTTTCTAATCAACTAATGATAATGATTGCAGTATGTTGGTTCAACAACAATTAGCCAAAACAGTTAGTAATAGTATGAAGGAATTTATCAGGAAATCATTGTGAACAAATTATAGTAAGTTAAATTGATTTTAATCATTTAAAATGATGATTCTCATTGTTAGAAAGGAGGATTTTTTCTCTTTTTGTGTGAATATTATTTGTCATTTTAATAGTTCAGTTCATGAATCAATTGAAGTTAGACCAACACATCAAAGGACGAGTATACTGCGCGGCAGTCCGTTCTGTTTTAATTTACGGCAGCGAAACATGGCCATTAAGAGTAGAAGACACTCGTAAGCTACTAGTTTTTGACCACAGATGCCTCAGAAATATTGCTGGTGTCTGTTGGGATCACAGGGTAATTAATAGTGAGGTTAGACGCAAGGTATTAGAGAATGATGGTAAGTCAGTTGATGAGGTTGTGAATCTTCATCGACTGAGATGGTTGGGCCACGTGTTGCATATGTCTGAACGCAGATTACCACCATACACAATGCTCACTAGTGTTGGACACGGTTGGAAGAAAATTAGAGGTGGCCAAACCGAAATGTGGCATCAGTGATTGAAGTCACTAACTTCTAGTCTGAGCCATGTTGATAGATGCAGACAACTTGGTTGGGGTCCACGTGACTATCGTAACCGATGGTTGGAGACTCTTGGTGACAAGGCTCAGAATCCATCATAATGGCGTCGGTATATACCCTGTTTGTCTTCCCTTAAACTATGAGATTAAAATCGCTTCATATCTTTCTTTTTACGAACTTATTCTTTGTTTCTTTACTATATAAGCAATCTATCTTTTATATATTACTACCACTGAAGTGACTGTTTCTATCAATTTCATGTTCATCTTGTTGTGCTAATGAGGTATGGCAAGTTGGACCGATGCATATATGTGCTTGGTCCTACGTTGTAGCTGACTGACTGACTGAACACATCATAGAAAACCTGGAAGTACTAAATAGCTGTTTCGTTAGAATGTAGGAACCTCCACAGAAATGTGTTTTAATATAACTAACTAATTAATCATATGAATGAGTTTGATTTTAAGTTAAACAAAACGAGATTATAATGAGATGGATTATTTTTTGAATTATAATTGTTTCTAATTTATAAATAGACAAATGAAACAACCGTTTAGTGGTTTCAAGTTTTCTATAGGGATCTAGCTTCAATTGATTCATAAATTCAACTATTAAAATTACTACAATCACCACAAAAAACCCCCTTTCTGATAAGGATTTATAAACTTTTTCGATTGTTATAAATTAATCACAGGTGAATATGATTATTAATTTTTTGAGAGTAAATTACCTCTTTAAGTCGATAGTGTTTCGACGTTTAACTTATATTTACAGTGTTTTTGAAATGGTGGAGAAGATTTGTAGCTCAAGTGGATGATTTTGATGGAGTTTTGTTCTCTGAGTTGGATAGTTTGGTCGTGGAGCTTCAGATAGATCTGAAGTTTGTGCTGATGATGTCGTTCAGAAGAACGATAAAAGCTCCACGATCAAACCATCCAACTCAGAGAACAAAACTCCATCAAAATCTATATTGTTTGTTATATTTCTGAATTGTAGCTACAATTCAAAACCAGAAAGCATACCTATTAAATAAGTCGGTTGCTTACATAACTCAGTAGTTTAGATAATAATAAGTTTACGCTTGAACAGATAAATATTAGATTCGAGTAATAATGCAATAAAGTAATGTAATGATACCCAATATATATTCAGTTGATAACTGGATTCCACTGCTATCTAATAACCAAAATTATAGTACTCCCTAATAAAAATGGTTCTTTGTAAGCTGATAGAAAAAGGTTTATAGTCTATAAGTAGGACATTGAAGGTATTGTATCGATTTGTCCTTATGTGAATAAGTTAACATAAAATGGTTCTTGTTACCAATTAATACGTATAAGATAAATCTTGAAATAGAAAATGCATAGATTATTGAAACTCAATTCTTCTATCCATTATAGTTAAAAACATATTGAAGAAGTATCGAATGATTGTTACACCATTGTTTGAGACTTTAATCTCAGAGTTTTAATTAACTCTCTGTCTGATGTCATACTTGAATAAAAACAATAGTTAAATGATTCTAAATATACACGAAATAACATAAATGAAGAATTCATAGGTTAGAATCTTAAATCATAGATTAGTAGTGCTTAAGATAACTGATTTGAGCATCTGGTTACCTAAAAGATAGTCAGTCAGTCAGCTACAACGTAGGACCAAGCATATATATGCATCGGTCCAACTTGCCATACCTCATTAGCACAACAAGATGAACATGAAATTGATAGAAACAGTCACTTCAGTGGTAGTAATATATAAAAGATAGATTGCTTATATAGTAAAGAAACAAAGAATAAGTACGTAAAAACAAAGATATGAAGTGATTTTAATCTCTTAGTTTAAGGGAAGACAGGGAGTGTATACACCGACGCCATTGTGATCGATTCTGAGCCATGTCACCAAGAGTCTCCAACCATCGGTTACGATAGTCACGCGGACCCCAACCAAGTTGTCTGCATCTACCAACATGGCTCAGACTAGAGGTTAGTGACTTCAATCACTGATGCCACGTTTCGGTTTGGCCACCTCTAATTTTCTTCCAACCATGTCCAACACTAGTGAGCATTGTGCGTGGTGGTAATCGGTGTTCAGACATATGCAACACGTGGCCCAACCATCTCAGTCGATGAAGATTCCCAACCTCATCAACTGATTCACCATCATTCCTTAATATCTAAAGGATAA